AAAGTACTCCAATATACCATTTATACAATTACTTAGTATGTAGGTACTTCCTTTAAGCCACTCTTTTCCTGTTGATGCTAATTTTATAGTGCAGAATACCGATATGTCTGAAAACATGAAAAATTCAATGACTTAATTGATGGTCTAATGGTGGATTCTAGTCATAATAAAAGACAATGCCATTCTTCTCCTCTACAACTCTACTAATGTTTAAGATATATTAAACAAGTTTATCACTATAGGACATAARAATTAACCAAACCAGATTCTAAACTTTATCAGTCACATTAAGGGAGGACAGAGAAGGACCTCTGCAAGCATGGTATATGTTGTATTTATCATATACCAAATGTCAAAGCTAAATTTTCTTCAATTTCTATTGGTCGAGAGTGTAGTCACATGAACACAAAGAAATTCAACTGTTTCCTGGCAAGTTGTCTGAGAGGGGAATAATACCGGAAGTCACGTGACCACTTAATATTATCATCACCTTTTTCATCATCATCACTATCATCATCATTGTCACCATCATCATCATTACCATCATCCTCATCATAACCATCATCACCATCATCATCATATTCATCATCATCACCATTATTGTTATCACTATCAATATTTACTATCACTATCATTGTCATCATCACCATTATTATTATTATTATCACTATCATCATCATCATCATCATTATTATTAATTATTACTGATAGAACGAAATAGGGGCAAAGTTGGATTCACAATGAGGGGTGGGGCATGATCCAACACTGGATTCACATGACCCTCCCTTGAAGCAATCCCTGAGGACAACAAAATGAATCTGTCCATAGACCCCTGCATGTGTTGTCAAAGCAGCTCAATTTGGAGGGAAAAAAACAAAAGAATTTCAAGCTCCTGAGAATTGGAAACCGATTGKTATGTCCTACAAATTGAACTGCATTCCAATGGACTGCAAAGGGTCTAATGTATAATTTACTATTGCGGCTAATGTAAACAATGGGTATGTAACATGACGAGTTACACGGCCTAGTTACCGGCGTGAAGCAGCACTTTCAAAGTGCTGGTCTCAAATTTCATTTCTATTCATTGCATAGGGAATACTTGCGTAATGCATGTCATCGTACGGATTAACACAGCATGCCACTATCAATGGACGTCACTGAAGCAGTATTTACGTCGTTATAAGATATCATGTGACTCTTCTGTGGCGCTTTATTTGAATGGGTCACTGAGAACATTTCGATGAACTATTGGGCCAGATCAAAGGATTTCAGGTTTTTCTTACACATTATCACTGCTCTAGCCCTTTTACTGTTATTTTATGTATGTGATGTGCGTTTATTGTCTTTGTATTAGATCTGTAGGCAGCATTTATGCTTAGGTACTTGTATACCTGTATAATTTGCTTGCTTACTTAGATCACTGTGTTTTGTGATAGATCTGTAGGCAGCATTTATGCTTAGGTACTTGTATACCTGTATAATTTGC